AGAATTAGATATTATTATAGAATGAGAAAAGCAGATCTCATAAGAGCAATTGAGCAAACAACTCCTATATTAGATATGCCTATTCCAAATAATATTACACAAAATACTTTAGCACCTACACAATATGTTCCAGTTAGTTATATTAATACCATTAAGAACAAAGTGAATTCATTTGCTAATTGGATTATTGACTATGTTCCTGAACCTATTAAAAATGTTGCTAATGAAAAACTTACATCAATAAAGTCAACAGTTTCAAACTTGTATAAAAGATTTGGACTTAGAAAACCAATAGAATTTAAATTAACACAATCAGCTCTTAAAAATATAACTAAACAATTTTCAGCTGAAGGAGTTGAAGGAGCTGATGCTTTATCTTATATGAAATCAGTTAAAAATAATGTATTAAATATTTTAAATAGTAATAAAGAATCAAAAATCTATATTGTTCTTTCATGTGAAATGGAGCGTACTGATCTTAAAACAGGAGAAACTATAACAACTATTGCATCCTTTTCAACAAAAGCAGAAGTTGTATTAGAGTCAACAGATTTAAATGACTTTTATGAAAGAGCTGAACAGAAAATTTTAGAATCCTTGTCAGCATTTCAACAATTAGGATCAAGTTGGAGATTTGTTTCAGTTAAAAAGATGGACATTAATATCATTGAATATAAACCTATTAAAGGTAAATCTTACATTCCTCTTCCTAAAGAGTTGGCAGCTAAAAAAGCAATTATTAATATGAAGAATGAAGACAACGAATGCTTTAAGTGGTGTGTTGCTAGATTTTTTAATCCTAAAGAAAAAAATTCTGAAAGAGTAGATAAAGATTTAAAAGAACAATCTGAGAAATTAAATTGGGAAAAAATAAAATTCCCAGTATCACTACAACAGATTACTCAATTTGAGAAAAATAATCAAGACATCAGTGTTAATGTATTTGGTTATGAAAATTCTGTTTATCCTTTAAGAATATCTGAAAACAAAAAAAGACAACATGAAATAGATTTATTACTCATTTCAAATGATAAAACTAATCATTATTGTTTAATAAAAAGTTTAAGTAGATTACTTTCATCACAAATATCTAAAAATGAACATGCTATGCACTTTTGTCGAAATTGCTTGTTAGGATTTTGTACTGAAAAATCTTTATCAAAGCATAAATTGTATTGTGATACTCATGATTCAGTACGAATTGAACTTCCAAAACCAAATACAATGACTGAGTTTAAAAATTATAACAAGTCTATGAGAGTGCCCTTTGTAGTCTATGCAGACTTTGAAAGTGTTATAAAACCAATCAACACTTGCTCGTCTAATCCAAATGAATCTTATACAAAGCAGTACCAAAAGCATACACCTAGTTCATTTTGTTACTATATTAAATGCTTTGATGAAAGTGTATATCAAAGTAAACTAGTTACATTCACTGCAAGTAATGAAGATGAGGATGCAGCACAAAAATTTGTTAATATGCTAGAAGAAGATGTAAAAAAGATTTATAACAAGTACTTAAAGTTTCCAAAAGATATAATATTTACTTATAAAGACAAAGAAGAATTTAACAATGCAAAAATATGTCACATTTGTGAAAAAGATCTTAATGAATATAAAGTAAAAGATCATTGTCATATTACTGGAAAATATAGAGGTGCTGCACATAATGAGTGTAATTTACAATTTAAAATTCCAAAATTTATTCCAGTACTATTTCACAATTTATCTGGTTATGACTCTCACTTGTTCATAAAGAAATTGTCAGAAGGAGGAAAATCAGAAGGAGGAAAATTAAATTGCATTCCTAACAATGAAGAAAAGTATATCAGCTTTTCTAAAGAAATTAAACTTGATGAGTTTACTAATAAAGAAGGAAAAAAAGTTGAAATTAAGAGAGAGCTCCGTTTTCTCGATAGTTTTAAATTTATGGCTGCTAGTTTAGATAGTTTAACTAAAAATTTGTCAAAAGATCAATGTAAAAATATTAGTAGATACTATTCTGGAAATGAACTCAATTTATTGTTAAGAAAAGGTGTTTATCCTTATGAATGGGTTGACTCTATTGATAAATTAAATGAAACACAATTACCACCAAAAGAATCATTTTATTCAAGATTAAATGATGAAGGAATAAGTGATGAAGATTATTTACATGCTCAAAATGTATGGAAAGAGTTTAATTGTAAAACATTCAGAGATTACCATAATTTATATAACGAATCTGATGTATTACTACTAGCTGATGTCTTTGAAAATTTTAGAGATGTCTGTTTTAACAATTACAAATTAGATCCTGCTTGGTACTATACAGCACCA